GTTTTCCTGCTTGCTCCACAGCGGCGATATCAACTAACTGCCGTCGCTCCCTTTTAGTTTCTCGAGTGAGGGAGCTTTCCCTGGGGTAAATTAAATTAAGTTAAAAAATAAATTAAATTCAAAAAAGTAAAAGTAAATTTTGAAAAAAAGTAAATAAAAAAGTWAAATTAAATTAAATTAAATTAAATTAAATTAAATTAAGTAAACTACATGGCTGAGATCTGTTAGCGCTCACCCTGTGCGACCTCAGCTGGGACCTCCTGTGTCTTAGGGAGGACACCCCAAGACTCTTCCTCCAATGTCTCAGTCCCCTCTGCAGGTAAATCCGGTGTAAAATGGCTTAAGTTACAGTGTGTGAATAAAGGTGGCAGCCCGGGTAAATAAAGCAGGTGTTGCCTGCTGGGTGTTTGTAAAATCTAAACCAATTTCCTCCCGTGAATTTCCCCACACAACCGTATCGCCTGGTTTATTTACATTTTTCACCACAAGAGGACAGTATTTGTCCAACTGCCTAAATTTTGTTACCCCAGTTTGACAGAAAAAGCACAAAAGTAGAGCTATTCTTGGGATTACACCCATTAAGTAAGGGCGCTGGTATAGAGGTGGTTAAAGCAGCAAAAATACCAACATTTCTGGGGTTTCGTTTGTGTCCTTCACACTGCACAAGACTCAGCAGCTCCCAGGTTAAGCACATACTGCTTACCCAAGCATCTGGCTTAATCCCTGTCGCTTGGACGTTGCTTTCATGTTTTATTAAAGCCCCTTCCAAAGCTGCTGCCCTGCGCTGTGTCAGATGCCCGAGCGACGCGGGGACGTGGGCTCCCGAGGGCATTGGTTTTTCTGAGAAGGATAAATATTCATTTGCCTTTCTATGACACTTGAGSAGACTTTTTTTTTTAAATTTTTTAAAACCTAATTCAAATGTAGTGGGCTAAAAGTAAAGTTAAAAAAAAAAATGSATATACTACTCTGCGCTGAAAATGCAATCCAAATCGTGAAGCTAATTGAAATAAATTGAAATTGAAATTTCTTTCCCCTCTTAYGGTTCCCTATTCTGATCTCCAGACAACCCAACTACACAAGCAATTTAAAACTACTGTGCCAGGCATGCAATAATTCTATTTATTAATTTTTTTAAGATTACATTATTGCTTTCCCCATGATTAGCTTTCCATCTTTCAGTTTCTCCTGACAAGTGAGGCCAAGCAGTCATTTATAACAAAAAGAAAACCTGTGATATATTAATTTCATTACCAGCAAACATAGTCATAAACTATTAATGAACAAACTGCTAAATATGCAGCGGGGGCTGTTTGCAAGCAATGATTCTGCAAGCCTGATTTTGCCAAACAGTTAAGAAAGAGCAGGGAGCTTTATTCCTTGGGAAGAAAAGCAGCAAAATATTACAATGAAATATGTTTCCATTACATAAATTGAATGATATGTTTATGTTATATAAACGGGGCTGCATAAATGGATGTGCTGATTCAAAAGAAGGTGACTCTCCCTTTCTTACAAACTGATAMGTATCCAATAGCACTACAGCAAAACAAATGTACTCGGACCTACAGCAGTGTGTTACAGAAATGGACTATCTTTTGGATGAAAATACTTTATTTTGTACAGAGTATAATGAAAACTCCAAGTTTTGTCTCTTAAAAAATTACTTCACATATTTACCGTTCCATTTTCCTTCAAAGCTGATCCAATAATGACATAGCCCTTGAACATAACTCTCAGATATATTTTTATTACAAAAAGAACTCAAATGCATTTTGTGAAAACAGGATATAGCAGTTCTAGGCTTTCAGTTTACACATACTGCAGTAAAAGATGGTAAGTACCATCTTTTGTGGCTCTGAGTGTCATGTAACTCCCCTTTATTTTGAAGAATAAAAGAAATTGCAGGTTCAAGTAGTTGTAATGAACCAATAGGTTGATAACGTGATGCTTAAGCACACTGAAAAAAAAACCTCAGAATGCATTCACTAAAAATATTGTGGTGTTTAAGTCTGTCTTCTGATCTGGGCAGTAAAGGGAGTATTTTTTCAATGCATAGGCCTGGAAAAGAACATGAAAATGGGAAAAAAAATGAAGGAATTCATATACTTTGTTTAACTCTGCTGTACCCAAAATATAGATACAAAGCACAAGATAATTTTATTTGTGGATCACTGTTTTTGAGAGAACAAAAGCTTTGTAATAATTATTCAGGGCAGAAGCCCTGGAACTCGTTTTAGCAGTTGGGTAAACAAAAGTGAAGGGATTGTAGATGTGCTACATTATAATTATTATATATATTATATATTATTATATAATTATAATCATAGCACATAATCAGAGGTGCACAAGATGCATCATGCTCTTTTTTTCTGTCCCTCGGTGCTGCCAGTGCTTGCACCAACTGGTATTTGCACCTAACGAGGGGATTTACAAATCAGATTTCTTTAATACTCAGCTCGCAGAATACGAGTAAAAATTCTAGATGGGAACCATTCTCTGCAGTGTGAATTCTAAGTGCAGTTAGTCACATAAACATTTTTTAATAGGGGTTCAATTGGGCTCTGAAAATTAGCTCTGTTGACTGTCCGATTAGCCGGGATTACACGGGGATCAAACTTGCTATTTCTTCTAGGCCTGATTCTGACCTGTCAGACAGAAGTTAGTACCAAAATAGTTACTGATTTGATCAAGAAGAAATTAAGAGAAAAATAAAATCATCCATTTCTGCCAATGTAGGTCATTAATCTAGCAGCAATGGCTGTAAGAAACATCCCCCAACAGGAAAATGCAACCCAGAGATTTCTTGAAGAAAAGCACTTCAAAAGCAGTATCCACCACCTAAATGCTACCAGGTTAACATACAGCAGCAAAAATAATTGAAAGGCTACGGATTTGGGAGGTTGAACAATATCTATCAAAGCTGGGGCGATTGACGTGTGCCACGCTGGATCTTTCTAAGGAAAGTTAGAGCAGCTTGACTTTCAACTGTAAGATCAAATTTTGATGCTTACAAAAGGGTCCTGTGGTCACCCTGAGACTGGGCCTTTGCTTTCTTTGTCCTTCCTAGAAGTGACCGGCTCTGGACACTGCTTTCCATGGCAGCTGGAAAGCCCTTCCGAGAAGGGCTTCCCTTTCCCACCTCTGGACTTCATGGGGCAGGGGAGGGAAACGCGGACAGAGCAGAATTCCCTGCGCTGCAGCTTGGCTGCCTCTCCGATTGCCGTGGGCTACAGCAAAACACACGAGAAGCAGCTGCAAACCTCACCCTGTATTGAACGTTTTTCTATCCAAAGAAGTAAACTCCGTGAAATACATACACCCAAATACAGATGCACAGCATCTGTATTTGGCTTATAAAAATACATCCTTTCAGGCTGTACTATAGCTAGAATATTCAAAAGAAAGACAGAAAAATACATGAACCTTTTCCAGAAAAGCTGAATGCAGCACAAAGCTGCTGTTGCCTGCAGTGATGCACTTTGTGAGTGGGCTCTCACTTCAAAACCCCCTGAATTTTATCCGTTTCGAGGTGAACGGTCAGCTTGGCAGAGGCCTAGGAATAGTCATCTTGTCCATAGACCACTTCTCTTGCCAATCCTTACCGGCCCCGTTTTGAAGCTTAAAACCAGCACTTGATCTGGGAGCTGAAGGCAGGACCTTGAGGAACTGTCGGGGAACAGTTGCTTGTTTGAATCAAGAGGTGCCCGAGAGGAACACAGGCCAGCAGACACATGTGCTAATCAGGGGCTCATTCTTCTCATTTCTTTCGTTGAAGTGCTCCAAGAAGCCCACGCGGGGGCTCACTGGACTGCTGCGGCACAAAAATCCCAGGATTCAGAGGCGCCTTGGAAAAGGAATGCCGTTTTGCTTCATATCTTAAAAGCAAGTCAGGAAATAAAGCAGTTGCCAGGACTAGAACAATTCCCAGCTTAAGCTCCTGTTAAGAGCAAGCTGTGCCAGAAGGGACAAGAAGAAAAGGTAAGAAGGAAAAAGGGGGGAATTGGAGCTGGCCACCTTGCTTGCTGTCTCAGAGCGGAGTGCTCCGAGCAGGGTTTTGYACCTCAAGGCAGCACTGACTTTTCCCGGCAGGATTATGCCACGAAACCATCCCCAAGCAGCAGCAATGTGAAGTACCTGCAAGCCAAGAACACGTGCTGCTCTTGGGGGGCTTTGCCCAACATCTAGGCTCTTTGAAATGCGTTGCTTCACCTGTGTCCCCAAGAACCTTCTTTTAAGCTCTGCTTTCACCAGGAGAAAAGGGGAAGCCTAAGCTGTGCTCCAGCCATTTCTGCGTGAGAGACGGAGGTGTCGCTCGTGTCGCCTTTGAGCACCGAGTCTCTGTCACCACTGAACCAGGCTCTCAATTCCTGCCTGAATCCTGCCCTTTTTCCCTTTCACGAGTTCCTGTAACTCTTCATTCTGGAGCAGGGCTAATGTTCCCTTCAGCAGACCCATTTTCTCGCTCCTTCCCTACGGGTTAAGTGCTACCGAAGGCTTCCCAGCCAGCGCTTCCACGGCCTACCAGCAGCTCGGCCTCCTCCAACTCCCATCAAAGGCCTCAACGCAGCGGCYGCCGTGGAAGCCGGCGCTGACAGCAGCGCGGGGGCCGAGCCTCAGGTGGCTCTGCCACCCAACAGCGGGTGCCTTAACAGCCCCCAGGAGCAGCCCCCGGGGCAAGGGCGCCTGCCTGCCCCTCTGAAGCGCTGGCTCGGGCACCTGCWGCCCGGGGGCGGCCTCCCCGGAGGCCTTCGTTCTGCTCGCTGACTGCCCCTGGCAATCCAACTGCAACCAAAAAAGCAAGTAGGGCAATGACAGCGAATGTTTTGTCACAGCAACTGCTTTTATTTATGCACTGCCTTCATTTGTGTGCCTTGTGAGCAATACTATAGTATTCCCAAAAGGAGTGGAGGTGGAAAACACGGTGTTCCCCCAGCATTTTAAATCAAGTCACTTTAAGTCCTGCCTAGAAGGCTTAAAAAGAGAGTGGTCAAGAGGGCTGGAAAGAGCTCCCCTGATGAAGGCCGTAGGTCAAGCCTGTAAACCACAGGCACACTCCTCGGAAAGATGGATTCCCTTCTTGGCATTAAGTTGGCATTTTTTAAAACACCGAATGGGAGCAGAGGGGAGAAATCCCCTTCCATGGGGAGGGTTCCCAGCACTTTCCTACCTGAGGTCCACGGGATATGAAATTCCGTGATTTCCAACACCTGGTACCAGCACACAGCTTAAGGACAGTATCTCTGTTGACTTATGGCACTTGGACACGTTCTTACCCAACTCAAAAATCAGACTGTGGCCTGAAAAAGGTCTCACAGAGCACAGACTTAAACACGAGCCTATGTGAAAACTCGAGAGGTGCCCTGCAACCGACAGCCTTATTCTTAGCTCATTTCTTTTTGAAACAACAGTGGCAGGGTAACTGCAAATGCATTTGCCATGTGCTTTAGCTTAGTGATTTTGTATCCAGGATAATCTACAGCTACCATTTCTTTTCTTTTTTTTTTTCCTTTTTTTCCCTTTTTTTTTTCCCCTCTTCTATCAGGTTCTTCCTAGGTAGAGTGGCTAAGTATGCAGAGCTACTACAAACTTACCAGGTGTGTAACAAACCAAACTACTTCCCTGTCATAATGATAAACCATAAAATAAACACACAGGGTGATTTYTGCTTGCAGATATAGTTGAAAAGAAACCTCCTCTTTTCCTTTTTGCAATTTCAGCCAAGTGGGATTGTGTTCTCTCCATTGTTACCCTTTCAAAAAAATCAATTATAAAAGGACTTAATAAAAACATACTTGCATATTTGTACAGAGTTTGTACATCAGTTTTTCAAAGACCATTCTAGAAAAGTCAGCTTTTTCAACCTGATGTAAGAAGAAAGGCAAAAGTTATGGAAAATCAGAGTAACAAAACAGTATAGTAAAAATAAGAATCTGTAGCACATAGTGATTAATTGTAAACAATTAAAAGAAAGAAAGAAAACTCCCTACAAGGCATAAAATAGTTGAAGCTATATTGCTACTGTATTTTTCTAGCAGGTGTGTTTTCTATCACAGTCTTCTTTTTTATTACTATATCTTTTTAAAATAACTTATAATAACAATAATAATAATAATAATAATAATGAGTTTGCCTGCCAGCAGCCAACTCAAAAATATAATGAAAAAAGAAAAAAAATAATTAGACACTATTACAGTGGTGGGGAGAAGCTCTCCCCAGCAGCCTACGTGTTGTGTCCAGTCCTTTCCCTTCTTAGCAATCCTGATTTAGCCAAAGTTCCTGGCTATATTCAGCTTATTGGAAAYTGAAGTTCTTCAATTCAGACTTGGTTTCAGCGAGAGGAATGGCAATTTTTTTCCCCTTCTGCAACTTAGTATCAGCTCTGGAGCCACAGCAGCATCAAGCTCCAACGTAAGGAATGGGAAAATATTCCATCCAGGTGTGAAATGATTCATAGGCAGCATCCGAGCTCTGCCAAGCCCTCTGTCAGCACCATCCTCAATCAATACTTAAACCGAGCGGGCTGTGATTTCATCTCATCTGGCAGCTGGGAGAAGCTCCTGTTGGGCCTGTTTGTTGACTTGTCCCATCTTTGCTGACACGGTATCTTCACTGATGCACAGTTCCCATTACTCTGGATGCCACTCAGTGCACAGGAAAAAAAAAAAAAGAAAAAGAAACAAGCCATGCCCCTTAAAAACCCACATAATGCAGCAACAGCAGCAACAGCAGCCAGCTCGTACATTAGACTCTGCCCAGGAGCGTTGACCTGAAAGAGAGAAAGATAAATAAGTGAAGACAGTTGTTTCAATGAAATAAATCTTTTCAGATAGGTTCAGAGCACCCCAGATAAGGATCCTGTGAAACGGAGGTTCATGTGAGCAGTTTTGTAAGCCTGAAGTCTTTCTCTGTCCATCTTGCCTCCGCGTGTCAGGAGTGGCTGTATCCTCCTGTGAGGAATCTCCCTTCCCCAAAAGAATTGGGACTAGTCAGATAGAAGTGTCTGTTTCTGGCATATCAGTATTTTGATATATTGATATACTGAAGTATACTTTTTGAAATACATATTGAAGTATATATTCACAGTGGAAGCTCATTTTAGGGGTGAAAATACAGACTATCCACATACTTATCTATTTCTCTCTTTGTCTCCATCTATGTGCCTGAACGGCTTTCTCTGCTGCCATAAATTCCCATTTGTTGTATTTAATTGGCAAAGCAGCAGCTAAAGCTGCCTATTCATGTAGTTGTCATAATTAGTAAAACGAAAGAGGGGACCGGGCTGTGTTCAGCCTGCAGAAGGAGAAAAGAGCCAAGAATGGGATTTGCTTAAATTTGTTTTTGCCAGCTGGAACTCTGAATTATGTTACCTGGTTTCAGAATAGATTTGCCCTAGAGTTATCTTAGGGCAAAATTCAGGCTTGCCTGAAGAGACGTGCCAGGYGGGATGCAATAGCTGAGGAAACGTCTGCCTGAAAACTCAAGTGCTCTGTAATAGTTGTGAGGCAAGAGAGACTTCCTTGAAGTTTAGAAAATGTTTTTCTGATACTGGCTGACACAAGAAATTAATCTCCTACCCCCTGAGGGAGAGGAGGGCTGAGAGGGTTTAAGATAAAGAAGAACCGACCGTGCTCATTTCTTCCAGGAGTCTAGGAGCAGAGGGGAAATTTCCACTGGTGCTGTGCCCCATCTGCTGAAGCACGGAGCCTGCCATTTGGTTTTAACTGTCTGACGTGAGCCCTGCATCCCATTCTCTTTATTTATTGATGCGAATAACCTTTGACACAAACCTCAGAGTCTTCCATCTGTCCTTTTCAATGTGATTCTCAGGACTTTCGCTCTCGTAGGAAGCCAAGTAAAGTGCTGCAATCGGAAACAAATACAGTAGGTTTAGGCCTGCTGGCATTTTACAATTTGCTGTCCCTCTAAAGTAGGCTGGAGTTAAATGAAGCAGACCTATATTATCCATCCCTCAGGTTAGGCTTCAGAATGCCATTCAGAAGGACAGCCTTGCTTATAATTACATCCAGACAATATTAACAAAGAGTGCGTGAGGACAAAGATGGCCCTAAGCGGGGAAAAAGAGCCAGTGAAAAGCTAAAAAGCAGGAGTGGAAGAAAACTCTCTCAAAAGGAAAAAAAAGGAGCCCAGGGCCATGGTTCTCGTGCTTTTTAAGCAAGGAGCTAAGTCCCAGTGCTCTCTCAAGCAGCACCCTTAAGTGTAAAAGGCATCTTGGAGGTCCATATCTATCTATCTATCTATCTATCTATCTATCTATCTATCTATCTATCTATCCATCCACCTCAGAGGGTCTTTATGGTATCCACCCAGAAATGGTATCTACATGCCCATAAAATTTTTTCATTCCATTTCAGAAAAAAGGACAAAGTCCTCTTCACAGAGTGCATGCACGTTAAGAAAAAGATCTTATTCTCTCCCTTATTTGTAAAAGAGAAGCACTTTGTAGGTTCCCAGACAGAGATATCCCAAAACAAAGAATTTCTTTATAAAAGCCACATCTTAACATGGATAAAGACTGAAAAAGAGCGAGTGACACCTGCCCTACGGGAAGTTCACAGCTCCTTACCATCATCACTGAAGACTGGGACAGTAAGCAAGTACTGCAGGATCTTGCGATCCCTTTCGAACGGACACTCCACTTGCTTCCACGTCATAAATTCACTCACTTGTTTCGCCAACTCCCAAAATTTCTGCCAGATTAGAATAAAAAACAAAAGAAAGATTATGCAGCAGACAGCCTTTTACTAGAACATTAAAAAGGAAAAGGGCAGGGAGGGAACAGAGGTCTAGGTTGCAAGTCCAAGTCTTGGATTTTCCACAGTTTCTAAGCTAGAACTGAATGTGAGTGACTGCGGAATTGTGCTTCTCACTTTTATGTTTCTGTTTCAAACTGGAATGACTTCACGCTTCTCCACCCTTGTAAAATTGTCATTACTTCTGAACAAAAATAGCAAATCATCATCTATACTCAGTTTTCTTTCAAAGGGCTCATAACACTACTATGCCCCACTTCTAAATTGATGATGCTCCTATTTGTGTGCTTTGCCCAATGAGATTTTTAATTCTCACTTCAAAAGCCTCTAGATGTTTAATGCTGACCTTTCTAAGTTCAGATGTTCCATTTTACTGGCTAAATTGAAACGCTGAGTTTTCTYGATGGAAACTTGTGCCAAAGATAAACATTCTTCTTGCCCTGATACCATTTCCAGATGAAATCCTGCAATTCAGCTTTAACATGCCTCACACATACTTAGTTCCCTTGAAGAAAAGGACATTCCATGTCATCACACAATGTAAACTGAGAAACAGGCTACTAAGGCTGATTACAGCAGGGAAAAAATACTGTAATTTTGTGCAGGTGATCCAGGCATTTTAAAAAGTGAAAAGTACCTGAGAACAAATCCTTCTACTGTCAGGGAACTAGTAGGAAATCACACCAGAGGAAGGGGCTCTCTGATGCTGTATCACACATTCCCTCAGGGATAATCTGTGACTTACATGGATGAAAATGCTGTGTATATATTATGACAAAGGTCAAACTCATCTTTTACATTGAAATTTAAGGAGAATGCCCCAAATTTTTTTTTGTATATATAAATTGTTGTTTTGTAGATAGAAAATATTATTTTATATTTTCTTAATTAAGAAACTATCTAAATTGAAATGTTTCAATAGGTGTGAGCACTGTGAAGGCATTCTAACTTTTTGCACTAAAATCTGTTAATGCTGAAACAGTTTCTATCAACATTCCAGCTCAACAAAACTGTATTTTCCTGACTTTCTCCAAGCTCCTGTGGTAACAGATGCACTCAAATTAGAGTCTAATTTTCCCCTCTCAATGYAGTGTGGGCTCAGTCATGATCTGCCTTCAGTGTTCTCTTCAAGGAGGTGATGAGGTGTAAAATGCCCCACTCTCAGTGCCACAGGGGTCTACTCACTTCAAAATTGATGTGACCATTTGGAAGACGATTGGCACAGCCCTCGTTGAGGAAGTAAATATCTTTGATCAAGAGGCTGAAGAAAGGTATCACGATCTAAGGAGAAAGCAAGGTTATTGTCAGTTGGGTACCTTATCAAAACAAAATGCTCTGCAGAGAGAAATCCAAGGARGTCACAAAGCACAAAAGCAACACAAAACACTGGGAAGGATCTGTGTAACGCAGAATGTTTGTCTGTAAAGAAAGTCTCCCTCACATGGTAAGCTAGTCCCTAGGGCTTCATTGCCAGCTTTGTCTCCAACTGCTTCCTTAATCCTGAACTGTTCTTGGTATGTCACTCTTTTGGGGTCCCTGTGAGAGTGTCCGTTGTGATACCAGTGCTTGTCCCTTATGGCTATGAGGTGTGTTCAGGACAACGAACTTGTTGCTTTTCTCTGTGATGGCCCTGACGTGTTTGGGCTTTTCATCAGACTTCCGTGCGGATGCCGGGGTGCAGCGTTTGGAGGTGCCTACTCCTTGCTCACGCTTTGCTAACATCTCTGGAGGCGCTGATGGCAGAGAAAAGATTTTGTGAGGAGCTGCAGAAAACACGACCAAAGATAAAGGCCGAAGGCAAGAGCTGACAGGCACCTCCTGGAGTCCTTTCATTCCCTTCAACCTTGATTTGTTTGCACCCTTCCCTGAGCTGCATGTGCCTTCAGGGCTRGCAGACCAGAGCTGGAAGTTGAGGGAACAGAAGCATAATGCACTGTAATCAAAGCAGGCAAAGCAACACTGTGAAGAGGCAAGGCATCAACCGCCCTAAAACAAGAGGAGCAAGTCAACCAGATAAGCAGAAAATCTCCTGACTTTATTACCTCCAGTAAGAGCTGAGTAAATAGGTGATCACAGAATGTTTTGGGAATGCTTATTTGTACAAAAACGAAGACAGGAAAACCTGGGATCAGTTCAACTGAGATAGTGCTTTCACCCAACAAAAAGTGCTGCTGCATTGTCTCCCCAAAAGCCTTCATGAACCTCCACATGTGCCCCAGGTTCCTGCAGGGTACCTCCAAGAGCACTTTCCTCCCTCCTGACAGAGATTTGTTTGCTGGATGAGCAGACACGTATGTTAAAGAGCAGCATGGAAAGCCCAGGGCTAGTGGCCCACTGTGGTAAATGGCTTTTGAACTCCAGTTCCCTGAGCTCACGTGAGAAACTCAACCTGTGCGTTGGCTGACTCCGATCAAAGCATTTCCCGGCATCTGATCAAATGGAAGTATTTGTCTTTGGAGAATGCCCACATTCCAGCATTCTTAAAGAGACTGGTTTTAATTTTCAGAGTTACACATCCTTTTTGCAACTGGGTATTAAACAAACAAACAAACAAGAAATACCACCTTACTATTTCCATGAAGTACTTTTCTGCACCATTTCAACATACAGAAGTACTTTGGATTTTTAAAAGTCACTGTTCTCTGAAAAGAATTAAGCATTCTGCATCTAAACTTCAGCAAACAGATCCTCAGGACTCAGAACAATCCGGTATTTTATTTCCAGCTTGAAGCATCAGTATAAACAAGCAGGCTTCCTATATAGATCAGCCTCATCCTGCCTGGCAGTTTAATTGACTCTATAAGCATCAGAATCAGGTTTCTTAAACCTAGTATAAAGTGCTAATATTACAAGAAGTTGATGAGCAGCTGCTTCTAAGTGGATTAAAGCTAGCAAGCCATTTGGCTTCTCTCCACAACAACTACAATTAAGCTTCTGCATTAATGTGTAACTGAAACCAAATTACTTCTTAAAAGCCAGTTTCTTTTTGAAGAGGTTAATAAAGACACCTCCTCTGTTGATGCAAAATTCAGAGCTACAATTAGCAAGGGGAGTCTTTAACACACTGTATTTACACGGACGTCTGATTCAGCTCGCCTCTTCCAGTAAGAAGCTTTTTCCCTTAAGAAATATTTCAAATTCACGTGGCAGAGACTGTAAGGGAAAGGAACTCTACAGAACTGGAAAGCTCTGCCTAGGCTGGGGCTTGTATCCCTTGTCCCAGGGAATACACAGCACAAGCAGTATAAATGCCAGTCTAGCCGCTCTACAAATGCCTGGGTTGGCCCAAAGCTGAATCCAGTACTAGAACTGGAGGAACCTTTACAGAATAATCCCCTTCCAGCAAGAAGGGATTGCTCTTCTTCCTGGAGTTTTATGCTATAGGCAGAAGCACAAATAAGGAATGATACTTACCTGTATTCTGGCATTAGTCTAMAATGAAAATGTACGGGCCTTGTTCTGCCACTAGCAACCTTAGACCTGGCTCTTCCTCAAGACTCCTCTTGGTTCCAGCTTTATCCATGCCAGCTGTTCTGGCCAACTGCTCCACACGAGCACAGTGACTACTGCAGAGCATAAGGAACTAGGGAGGCTGGGGACACCGCCAGGAGGTCCCCTCTTGCCCATCACACGGGCCCCTTAGCAATCCTGCTGCTCCTCATGAGGCTATTCATGGCATGAGGCATTTCAGCATGAACGGGGTAGCAGGTGTGATGGAAATAACTGCTACAAAGGGAAGATTAAGCTTTCTGACTAGCACATCCCTGAGCCAAGACTAGGTGAGAACTGCATTCTGCTCTTCTCTTTAGACCCCTTCATTTAAAATGGTTGGTGTCCAGTAAATAGCTGCCCTTTTTCTTCAGTCTTTGCCACAGAGAATCTCACAAAAAATCAATCTTGAAAGACGCAGGAAAAGGAAGCTAAAAAGCAGCAGCAGTTCTGTGTGCCTGTTGAAGACCTGAGATAAGCAACTTTGGCTTTATTCTCATTTTAGAATTAACTTTCTGAATGGATTTTAAAGCTTTTCTATCAAAAGCATTTTTTTCTTTAAAAGAAACAAAGCACTTAACAGTGAGCCATGCCCACTGTTCTCCTTTGAAGCCATTCCTTCCATATTTAGTATATGCCCTAGGATGCTTGTCAAGGTTCTTCTTCCTTATCCTGTCTAYAATTACAAGCATCTGTCCTTCTGCTAATTCCACATGCAAATAACATCACCCATAAAATAAACACACGGAGCCAGGAATGCTCACAAATAACTTCCAGCCACTGAAGAACCRAACTATTTCCCCACATTTGCCAGCTCTGAACTAACTTTCCTCACCCACAGTTAGGCCAGCTGATCTCCCCTCCTTTGGGTATGAAAGCTCCACAATGTACTCTCCCCAGTCCCCTATTCTTCATCTTTCAATGAAGTTAATACTGTGAAAGGAGGAGGTGCTGAAGGGAAGTCTGTCACTCGGGAGCCCTACGCAGGGCACAACMCAAAACTCATGTGATGACAGTCATGAACTCCTCGGAACACGAAGCCAAGTTACAGAGCAGCATAAACCAGAACCACTTGTTAGCTGTCCTACTGGTGCTCCTCAGCTTCCTCTTACAAGTAGCACTTATAAGGATGATAAATTCCTCTAGTGACCTCTTTTCAATCCTCGGGTTTTCCATTTGTATTACAGACAAAGAGGTCAAACGCTTTTGGTTTGGGAATTGGGTTCTTTGTCAACTGAACTGGGGCAATGCATCATATTTAAATCATCAAAGCAGTCACTCATTGTTTGCAGCTTTTGGTCAGTACCAAGCTGGACTAAACTTCAGCTGGCAACCCAGCTTTCCGAAATATTCTATTTCCTTGCTTGCTAGTTTACAAGTAAGAGCTAGACATTCTGAGTAAAGAGGGATTCAACTTTGAGGTTTCTGATGATCACTACTACCTAAAGGCTCTTGGTTATAATTCCTGAGAATCCCAAATTTGAGACATAAGCTGCTTTTCGTGCAGCTTAACGAGTACATTTCATTTCTGCCCACGCCGAGTGATCTGTGACGCACCTTCTCTCTGTTGCTGTGAGCTGTCAAGGACCTCTGAGCGGCTCCACGCAGAGCGGTTCGGTAATTGTAAAAGTTGCTAGAAGGGTCCATCTGATGCTGCAGGCAAGAAGAATATAAATAATGTCACTACTCACCAGTGTCACTACTCACTTGAGCAACAATTTCAAAAAACAAGAGAAACTTTACTTAAAAGAATGTTTGCTCAGCACAACCAGGAATGCAAGAAACCAAGGACTAAGGTCTGGGCAGGAAAGCAAAGGCTGCCTTCATGGACCTGCTTTTTTTCTCTCCCACCCCAAAAAGAGGAAAACTAATTTGAAAGCCAAAATTCTGAACTCAGATGTACAATGGACCTTCTCAGTAGTATTTTGCTATTGTGTATGCAGATTTCTCCAAGTTGATTCAACTGCAGTGGCAGGCTAAAATTAAATAGCTAAAGGTGTTAGTGCTCCCCCATCTGTCTCCCTCCGTGCCCTAACACAGACTGCTGCCCTCCAGGGCCAGGATGACTGAACGGCTCAGGAAGCCAGTCCTTAACCAGCAAAACTCACCCTGCAAAATTCAGCACGTTCAAATTAAATGGGCTGTAACCAAAAGAGCTGCTCCCTGAGCTTTGCAGCCAACCCCAACGCAAAGGCAGCTTAATCCCATCCAAGCATGGGGGCAGAAAGTGCAAGGTGGTGGCTGCAGCTCTCCAGGACGTAAATAGCCTGATGGGATCTCCAAACTGCTGAGAAACAGCCTGTATTAACTGACTGCCATTTTAAGCAGGATAATTAACTTGTTGGTAAAGAAGCGGTAAGGCAAATCACAAATTCATAGGCTGCTGCACCTTCATCATCCTTGACAAAGACCTGAACTACCTGAAAGTAACTCTCAATGCATTAATTCAGGAGAAATGTCTCTGACCAGACACAGCAGCTGATGGAGAGCTTAATGCAATTTTCAAAACTAAAACTACACCAGGTCAAGCCACACCATCTCTCCCAACTACATCTACCTTTCAAGAGGTTACTTGCATTTTTTTTAATTGTTCTTCTATTAAACATAACAATGAGTTCAATTTCCTTCTTCCAAATCAACAAAGCAGGAATCAGCTGAAAGATTCTTATGAAAACTTCGGAAATTTTCAGTAGGCACCCACACCAACTAAACAAAAACTGTCTCTGTGAAGCCAAATTGTACTTCAGAACCCGAAGTGACACTCTGCTGACAGCCCTAAGTCCACATATAGGCCAGGACTTACCTCAAGGATATCGAATTTGGCTGTCTTCACTTTTGCCCAAGTTTTCTTTAATCGAGAGACAGGGCTCATGTTCATGCCAGCTTGATTTAAAAGAGAGAGAAATTGTTTGAARTTTTAAACATCTCTAGGATAACTAAGGCTTGTAAGTATTTCTRAAGGAGTAACTAAAAACAACAAAACAGAGCTACTTAGAAGGCAAACTTTTCAGTTGCTTGAAATTCCACATTTAAGAGGAAATTTTGAAAGCATGCAAATCAGCATTTCTTACGGAATGAAAGCTCTAAAAAAGCACTATAACATGATTTCGTGTGGTTTTAATAAGCATGAACCACACGGAAGAAAACCAAAACGATTCATCTCAATACCTTCTCTTACRGATTTAACTGGAAGTTAAACGTGGTCATGAAACTTTCCTATTTCTATAAGAAAATATTCCTTTTTTTTGTATTAGATACAAAAAGCAATGTAGATTTTTTTAATCTACTTCATGGTACAGCAGAAATCATAGAATGCAGCAGTTCTCTGTTACTTGAAATGTTTCTTTTCCGATTTAGGATTGAAGCTTCTTTTTAAAATTGGGGATTTAGCTTTTCTGAACAGTTGCAATAAAAGCATACTTCTTACTGTAACTTCAACTACAACAGAAAATCTTTTTTTTTTTTACATGTGTTACAGTAAAACACTTAGCAGTTAACCCCCATTTCTTCTCCCAGCTTCACATTGCTGAATGTATGAAGCAGTAAAAACACCTCCACAGAGAGCACTGCTCTTCCTTGACTTCGATTCAGTCCGAGACAAAACTTCTCGGGCCATATACTTACAAATAATAGCCATTAGYGAGTTAAAGTTGCCAATGTTGAAACATTCCCGGGCTACGTCAATGAAATATTCTATTACTCGTGCTCTGTGCTTCTTCTTCACAGGCTGCAAGAGATGCCATTGGAACGTTACTTCAAATGCTCCAATTCCTCCCCACATTTATCCCATCCTTGCGCTGTGACTTCCAAATGGATCAAACCATACAATTGTGTTCGAAAGCCCTCAGGACAGTAAAGCCAAACTAGACAATGAGGTAAGTAAAGGGCAAGGAGGAGAGGTTTAAGATGCTCTATAAAGAAGGATACAAGGGAAGGAAGAGCAGAAAAAGCAGGCAACACAGAAGGCCAAGAGGTCTTCAAAGGGCTCCGTGAAGAGGACAACAAAGCTAAAGAGGTGCCACAATTCTGCCAATGGCCCAAAACCAGATGTTTTAGCAGAAAAAAATCCTTGCTCACCATACAGATTTCTGTTGCAACCAGGTAACTGAGCCTGTTGAACCATTCTACATAGGCTTCCAGGTTACGGGTCTTCTTTCGATCTCCGTAGCAGCTCTGCAGGCAGAGGAGAAACTGCAGCTGTCAATGTCATCCTCAGCTTTGCCCCAAGAGATCCTCGGCCTCCTCCCTTGCTATGCCCAGACACCATTAATGTTGTTAACCCAGGTTAACTCAGCTACCCAAAGCTGAGCTGGGTACTCAGCTCAAGGTTGGTGGTTGAGGTTAACTCAACTATCCGAAGTCAAAAGGTGAGTAGGAGAGCAACAGTGAGAGCTCAAGCACCCACTACCTCTTCCTGAGGTGCCAGCTCCATATTCCAGCCCCATATTCCAGCCGCAACTCCCATCAGGATGCTTTGAGGAACAGGGATAGGCTTATGCAAATAATCCAAGCTAAAAACCTGCTTAAGCACTTCCTTGCATATAAGCACTGTTTTAGTCCTGACTCCTGTTCTGCCTTGGTATTAGTGACAACCTTACACCCTCTGCAAAAATACAACCAAGTCCTTCCCTTTGGCACCTTAAATTCAGTTGTTTATACTCAATTAAAATACTGCATCCTAACTTCTGCGGATCAAATCCACAGTTTTGATTTGCTGCTCCTTGTGTTGCCCTATTTTTTAGTGCCTTGCAATGATTCCTTTACTCCATCTGCCTGGAAAAGGGCAGGCAGAGGTGTCAGTAGTCTCCACCTATACAACCATTGCGAGAGTCCGTCTGACAGACCTACAAATCAGAACTGGGAGTCACTCTGTTCTGTTTGCCAGTTTGAGGGAGGACAGCAATTCCAACGTTAACTGCCTGATTTTGGCACAGCTGATTTGGAGCGTGAGTCATCTTGAACACAACACTCCAAGAGACCACAGCTCCAACACAGTTAGTTAAAAAGAGGGCATCTTTGCTCTTCATCTCACGTGGATTTGGAGCTCGCTGCCCAGTTTTTGGAACATGTGCTCGCTGTGCAAATTGCCCCTCTTGCCAGTTTGCTGCAAAAAATGTCTGTTCACTAAAAGGAAGAAGAGATGCTGAAAATGAGTGATGCAAAAGCCAAAATTTAACTCGATTTTTGAGGCTATAGGCCACATAGATGGCCAGGAGAAATCATTCCCAGGATTAGGTTACGCTGTAGTTTAAATCAGAAGAAATGAGAGATACCTTAAACGGAGTGGATTTAATGCCAGCGCAAGGCCAGAATGCAAGCTAAGCTTTGGAGCTTCTGGGCTGCTCCAATAAGAAGGAGCATCACAAGAAAAAAAAAGATTTTTTAAGAGGAATAGGAATATTAGAACATCTCACTACCAAGCTCATCTCTACGGGTCCTCAGTAGTTGTTGGAATTTCCTGCACACCGATCCCCTTAGCTCTAGCATCTAAGGGCTGTATTTCAGGACTGCAGCAGCTCCCCTCCCATTACCTTGTCGTTATCCAAGGGATCCTTTTGTACAAACGCCTGGACAAACTCTTCTGGTCCAATATAATTCAGGCGCTCCTGGATAAAGCACACAAGCAACCAAGTCACACTCGCCGTTGCTCTGCAGTTCGAGGGGAGAGGAGGGACGAAACTGCAGTTGAAAGCGAAACACTTACAAGCTCCACGTGCGTGAGCTGCTGAGCTAACGTGTAGGGATCATTGCAGACTGTGATTACGTCCCTCTGTATGGCCTGGGGCTTGCTCTTTAGCACCGTGAGGCGATCTGTGGACGTGGCACTGATTTTTGCAAGGACTTCCTCATACTGGCTGACAGTGGCAAGTTTCCGAAGCAGGTTCTGCAGGAGCTGCTGGACGTTCTTCCGATACATCTGCCACGACACGAAGCGGTCAGAACACATTCCCAAAACATGAGAAAATCGTATTAAAGTCTGAGTGACTCCCCAAACTGAAACACTTTTCTGGTCAATGCTCAACTATATGAGTTATACACAGCATACGATAGGAAGATGAGTATGTGAGTTTGCAGTATGGGCATCTAGCGAAAGCAAAAGGAATCCAAAGGAGCATTTAAACACTGATTGCATCAGGGATTCAGTCACGTCCTGGTTAGCCYGAGTTACAAAAAGTAAATACTTCATTTTATACAGTCAGTGTATCTTAAGTACTGACCACCTAATAAAATACCTGAAATGAAAATACTCTGGCTGCTACTGCTTACGACAGCAACAAAGAACAACACACGGTTATTCAGTGATGAAAATAGAACTTATTTCTCTCAGGAGTCAGTCAACACTAGTTTCACTTACCTCCTGAGTTAGATTTTATAGTAATTCTACTAGTTCCTGCAGCTATGCAGCACCCTGAGCTGTAAAAACAAAATTAATTTATCCTCCACAGACCTTCCATTTGCTATTCGCTGTGTATTTTAAGTTTAAGAGGCATTTTAAGAATGTCCCTCTATTTCTGTACCCTATCTAGGCACTCCCACCTAGGTAGGAAAAGCCTCTAAGGACTAGACAGCAGATATAGGGAGTGGAGAGAGCAGCAGGACCCTTTTCAGCTGATGGTCACTTGTGTCTGTCCTCTATGGGAGCCACTGCTACCTGGTAGAGGCTRAGCACTATATTGCAAATGAGTTTCCATGCAGCCAAAAGCAAACCCAAAAGCACCAAAGTGAGAGATCTGTGCAATTGTTGGGATGCATTTGGGATCAGGACCCAGAGCGTGGCTTTGGTGTCACTCCACATGTGCTTATCACCTGTTCTGCAGAAGAAGAGCCTGCCAAATGTTTAGAGGGAACTAAYCAGAAAATGGGAGGCAACGGACAACATGAAAAGATTCCGAAAAACGTATATTGAAACACACRTCAGCAAGTGATAAAAGGAACCAGGACCATCTAAAAGTATCTCATGACCATGACCCTCTGGGCAAACAGGAGGAAAGACACGCAAGGAACGGAATGAAGTTGAGAGACAGAGGGAAGAAAATAAGTCACAAGGCTCTAGGACTGCGTTTTTGATGGGCTCATCTGCTATGAAGATGCTGTCAAGATGAACGGTCTTTCCTGGACTCTCCCTGATAGCTCTTAACAGCAGTGCAGCAAAAGCATTCTGAAAGTGCAGTAAGGAGCTGTAAATATAAGGGCCACAGTGAACAAGAACAGGAAAGGCTGTGGTTTTGGATCCTTCAAGGCCATGACTCACACAAATAAATCCAAGCAATCTGCAGCAAAACAAGGTCGAGGAAGTTGCCATTTGCTGCCCCAGCAGTTCCCCAGCCAGTAACGCAAGTCACTTTCCCGCGGCACTTGCTTCCTCCTCGTTTCCCTAAAAAGAAACTTCAAAGATGCCTTGAGGTCTAGCAGGGGAGCTAGAGCTGAGAGCCATCTATAACTCCCTGTCAGAGCGASGTGGCTCCATTCTGCCCAGCAGTTTCTCCATCCTTTCTCCTCAACAGATGTCAGATTCACTGTGCAGATTTGCTGCACTGCCAGGAGCTCCACTGCAGACGATCTTCCCTGGTTGTCATTTCACCCTGTTTTTACTTCCATCAACCCAACTTTCCCAGCCGAAACAATTTCACGGCTCACTCCCTTCTCCCCTCTTCTTTTGCTCCTTCCCCCTTTCAGAATATAGGAAGGTGTTTCAGCTTCCAAATTTCATTTAGCCTTGTTCTCTTCCACCCGTGTTTATAGTTTCTTAAGGGCTTTTCAGCCCCCTGGCAGCAATTCTCATCTCCTCCCAGCTAAGCTCACCTACCAAAGCTTGTTAACTTGCTGTTTGCTGCCTCATCTACCCTGTTATTCAGAAGCTTATACAAGGCACACCAAGCCCTCAGCGAGCATTATGCCATTTAGCAACTGCCCTTTGTGTTTACAGTTCTTCCACATGACACTCCAGTATCTTTTGTCATTTTCCTGGGCTAGGCAGACATCMTCTGTTTGCTTGTTGAAGCCTCCTGCTTGCCTCTTCACCAGGTGAATATAAGCCTTGGGTTTGGGTTGAATTCTCTCTCAAGGCAGGCAACGGTTAAGCGTGAGGATATTTCCAAAGAGCTCCACGAAACATTATTTSTATCTGAGAGGTGGGACTTAGCAAGATTAAGTGATTCTTCACGTGCTCCCTTTGGAGGGAGGGGCACAACAGCCACGCTCTGAGCCTGTCTTGAGCACTTCAAGCTCAAGAAAATGTGTCTTGGTTCAGTTTTCCTATAAAACCTTTTCCTCAAACCTGCCATGACTCCTGCATAGACTGAGCAGAGCAGAGGCCTGATTCTAACCAACGCTGCTCATGGGGATCAAAGCAGCTATGCACCCAGACAGGGAYTTCTGAGATAGGCAGTGGTTTCCACCTTCATACCTAGCTTCTTTTTAACAGAAATCACTAAAAATGGAAAACGTAACCATCTACAAAGTGGTATTCATCTGCCTCAATACGTAATTACTTTATGGGTTTAGGGACAAGATAAATCCAGTGCTTTCCAAAGGATCTGTTTATGCTGTGTGGTTTTTTCCCTAAGCCCAGGTATCAGACAGAACTTTTTGCTCTAAGCACCTTCTTACTAACTTAGCTTCACCACCCACAGCCCTACTGCACCGTTAACACCAAAAAGGCTGCAATATCAAAGCATTAAAGTAATAGTTTTTTATCCAACAACACTGTGCACAGACAACTGACCTCATCGCCACTGGCTATTCGCTGGGCCAGCTCCTTTAAATTCTTCATCATCCTTTCATCTCGGAAATCATAAGGAAAAGTCTCTGTCCATTCCGTCAGAAGCTGCAGGATTTTGGGTGCTATTTTTCGTATCTGGTTCTATTTGAAAAATAATAAGGAGGAACGTTACGTGGAACAGCAAAACGTGTATATTTAACCCAAAAGAAATGCAGTTCCTACCCAGTAGGATACTGTGGAGCAWAAGGATATGAAGCCCAGTTAAATTTTTCATCTTAATTCAATTCTGCACTGGATTATAGGCCACTGAAGCCAATGAAAAGACTGGCATTGACTTACAGACCAAGAAATTGGGCCCCAGGTCATTTGACAGCCTTAGATTTATACTTGTGTTTTGCCCTTCATTATCCAGAGGGATCTATGCAAGACATCCCAGTATTTCCATAACCTGTGGCTAACTACCAACTACGAAAGTGATTAGCTTCAGTTCTCCCAGTATCTTCTCAACACACCACACTGTGAGAAATCAGCAGAATTAGTCAGGTTTCCAGTCTGTCTGCTGTGGCTGAGGACTGTCTTGAGCGGAGACCTTCTGCTCCAGGCAGAACGGAGACATGGGAGCGGGAGAGGAGGAACTTCCTTCACCCTGCAAGGTCCTACCTTGTCCAGGCCAGGCTCGCTCAGGCGCTGCTGCTCAGTGCACAGGTGGCAAACCTTGGCCATCAGCTCGTACGGGTGCATGAAGAGCCGCGAGCTGAGGAGGAAGGTGAAGATGTACGTCCTCTGCAAGCAAGCACAGCGCAGGGGTAAGGCTCCATCAGCTTCCTCTTCCCTCAACGTGCATTTCTGACAGAGCAGTTCCCAATGCTTCGGAGTCCCCAGAACACGTGTGTTCACTTGGCTGTGCAAAGTGCTAATACCACAGCAGTGACCTTTTAATTGCAGCTTGTCAGAGCTCCAGAGCAGGTATTATTTATTCGTGCTGGGGCCAAGTTATGCAAGATTAAACCAAAACAAGGCAGGGCAGGTTTAGTTCTCCTTTTGTACACACTGTTCCAACAAGTTCAGTACCTGAAATTACTCAGAAGACCATTTCAGCTCATCCTGCCTTGCTCTGTAGTAAATCTTTTTGCAAGAGCAATTACCAGATTATGTAACTCCTTCTAGGCCAACAGGGCAATCTAATTCATGCTGCAAGCCCAAGTTACTCAKAATATAGACTTACAATACAGACTCCTGTCTGCTGCTACATGTCTGGTTCAAGTAAACAGGCCTCAGAAGACAAGAGGAAAAAAGGTGCCCAGTGCCAGCTTGCCAGGGCATTGAACTCTCTTGATTTTATCATGTACTCCATCTTTTCTGAGCTGAATTGGCCCAACATCAGGACACCACACACTATCCTTTCATACTTTGTACAAGCAGCCCCAGTGCTGCTCATCTCTCAGTATTTTTTCCCAAACCATGGTGCCAATTTAACATTTCAGTTGCTAGMTACAAGATGCACGTCGAGCTGAGGAAATGCAGCTGGGAGGAAATGTATTGAAATCCCATTATCCTGAAACTAAACACACCCATCAAGTCACGCTGGTCATCCTTTCCCCTCAGCCTGCCTCCTGAGGCCTTCTCATTCTTATCTGATTTTTAATGGTCAGTGGTGCAACCACCAACCAGTCAGCCACGCCAGGTACTTACTTTAGAAGTGAATCACCAAGGTTGTACACGTAACAGCAGCACTAAMAAAGAATTAGCCTTCTAAAGTCACTCGAGTGCTGCAAGCTCACATGGAGCGCATCTGTTTCTACTGGATCACTGCTGGTCAGGCACTTGGAGCCCTTTTCCAGCAACTGGATGTGACACACTCTGTTCTAGCTGCACAGCTGATAGTTTGTACGGTCTAGAGACTTACATCGGGGTAGTAATCCACATTGGGTACTAAGTGCTGGATCAGAGCTTCCAGAGACCCTGACAGGAGGTTGTTGTCGTGGTAATTGAGCCCTCCACAGTTGTCCTCTTTGGCCTGATAGACGTTCCTGTTGTATCCACTGCTGTCAAAAGTAGCTGCGAAGGGAGGAGTCTGTGGCATCCTTTCCTGAGGAAACACACACACACGAGAGACAGGAACATTATCCAAAGGCATAATGCAGGAGCTCAGATCTGGTCTCACAGCACCACGCCAGGAAACTCAGTCTCACGCCTTGGCCATGTCATCTTTCACCCTGTGCAGGTTTCTCAGGGAAGGCCACCGGCCGCTGCCTACCTGTCGCAATGCCTGTGCCCTTCATCTGCATCTTGGTGCTTTCTGYTAAATTCCAGGCAAGGGATTGAAGTTAAGAGTGAGGAGGAGTGYGCAAGGATCTCGGCAGCAATTTTGGCAATCAAACTTGCTAAAATCYTTGAGGGATGTGGCACAGCATCAATGGGTGAGTTTGGGCAAAGTCCAGACAGCAGCTACACAAGAGTGAGACACAGAGCTGTTTTCAAGTTGCTCTGGGCAGATGCAGCCCTCATCAAATGTGGAGGGATAGAAGGGAAAATAAAACTGTAATAAAAGGTCATATGTGGTGACAGGAGAGCCATGTACCTGCAGTCACGGGCACCCTGGTTAAATCAGCTGCGGGCTTTCCCAGTAATACTGGGATAGGACTGATGCAAGCCAAAAGTCCACACCTAATAGCAGCTATCTTCACTGATTCTCTGAGCGGCTGCACAGACTTGGGATGTCAGTGTACAGGTGATCAGAGAGCTGCAGCTCTGCTAAACCCTCCCTCTGTTTTGGGAGAGAAGGTGAAAAACCCAGCCCTGTGTTTTCCAGCTTCAGATGTGCTTAGAATGAGAGCAAAAAAGAAAAAAGTAACCTCTCATCAAGCAGCATCTCAGGGCCTGTAGAGTAAGAATGCTTTACCAAAAGCGGTCTAAAGATGAACCGCTGCTGTGGGCTGTGCATCCACCCAGGTCAGCAAGTAGGTGGAGAGGGCGCAATGACCACCCAAGAGCTCTTTGGGAGATGCAGGATGTGCAAAGGCCCAAAGATAATGTCTCTGCTTGCTTAGGAGGCGAGTTCTGCCYCTCTTCCCTCTCCCCTGCCTTCTGGTTGCTGCAGGTCTTGGCCRTTTGCTAAAGAAACTAAGGGTTATAGGGTTAGCCTTTTCTGCTAGCTGGGTTTCTCTGCAATTTTAGCCACAAACACGTGCTTTTACTTATTTACATTTCCACTACCAGAGTTCCTGTGCCATGAGCACTAATGATGCAGTCGCATTCGGGGAGCAGAAAGACCCATTCGGAAGGCAATCGCCCCCCGTTTCCACTGCTCCCCACAACGAGGAGCTGAGGGCGATCCGATTCCAAAGACAATTTTCACATGTTGCTAAGCTTGGCTTGGCAGGGCCTGGGTGTGCGCCCGGGAAAAAGCTTTAATGCCCCTGAGCCATCATTGTAAGTGCAGATGCTGTTGCTTTTCTCCCCATTGTATCCAACCCTATTTGGAAAAAGGCTCTTGAAAGCCAGAGCCCTCGGTGAGCACCGGCCTGCRAAGGCTCCCGATGCGCAGAACAAGCAGTGATGTGACAGCCCGGAGATAAGGAGCATGTGGCCATCTGTGTGCTCTGCAGCTCCCAACAAAGCMCTCTTCTCCGGGATCTCCGGAGCAGCTAGAAGCTATTAAGTTATTAGCTGGATTCCTGGGGACCTAAAGCACTTCATAGAGAGCCAAAGACTCGCTGCTTCTGGCAGCAGGTCTGAATAATGGGGGCATTCAAACCAACACAAGACGGAGGGATTCAGAAAGTAAACAATGAGAGAAAGCCAAACTCCATTGCRGAGTTGAGGGAGGACAGTGAACAGAGCCTCCCGGGCTGCATGACCTGCACTAATCTGGTTTTTTTTTGAGATGCCAGAAGATATTTGCATCAAAATGGGAGAGAGAGGGGGGTCTCCGTGTCTGAAAAGTCACATTAGTCACTTTGTGCAGCTGTTCAACCAGCGATTCGATTCCTTCCAACCCCACGAATTGGGAGGGGAGAAGGACCAAATAAACCCACGTGCCACAGCGTACGAGCACACGGTGCAGGGCTGAATAAAAACAGGTTCTGGTAGAGGAGATGCTGGGCAGGGGAGACACCGTGATGCCACACAAGGATAAAGCTTCCTGACAGAGAAAGAAAAAGCCCTTCAGACTCTTCACAAGGCTCACAAAGTTCAGAAATAAACGATTAGCAAGGAGCTGATACTCCTCTCTGCAATATTTCCCGGGCTTTCCTGTGGTGTAAAGGTCACTATGTTTTAATTGTAAGACAGACTTGAACAATTCCACAATGTTTTTACTGGAATTCAGAAGCCATTTCAGCTGCTGGAAGTGAAGTTTCTTCAGCTGAAAGGCGAGCTAATACTGGCACTCACCTAACATTTGTAGCCCTGGGGCCTTCCAGGTAATACTCCACAAGGCAGGTGAAGAAGACTAGTTTGGTCCTGCAGAACCACCTGACATCACAGCTGGCACTGTAAGAAGAAAACAAAGAGAGGAGTTGATCTGAATCCAGAAATTCCAGAAATTCTTATTACTAATTCCCAAAGGGAATGAAATCTCTTTAAAGTCTTGCAGTCCGCTAGCTGGCAGCCCAGCAAATTACCTCCAGAAGTGCTCGAATCATTTTTTGACCCAGAATCAAACTGAAGATGCCTGAATCGAGAGGTGGAAGAAAATCACGGGAACCATCACAGAGAGACTGACGGTTAACAATACAACAAAACCCTGATATTCAGATCCTGAGAAGTATCTACAGGTTCAGTTCTTAGCTGTGCACTTAGGGCAGTCGCTCGGCAGCGACCACGTAGGAGAAGCTCCACGTGCAGCCCGAGGGGATTTCACTCACAAGTAAAGGACACCCAGAACACGTTGCCCRTGCCATGAAAAGGGATGATATCCAAGGGGGAGGGAGATAAATAAAGCGCAGGGAACACACGTGATTTTCCAGCCCAGTTGTTCCATCGCCTTGGCCTTGACTCTTTTGCTACATTTCGTAAGGAAGGGGAGACAAAAAGCAGCATCACTTTGTTGTCCGTAGGCCAGCTCAGGAGCTAAATACACCACAGCAAGCTCTGCCTTCAAAATACCTCGAGTGGAAGTGAAATGCTGCTCACGGAGCAGGGTCTGGCCCGCAGAGGCTGGAGCAGAGCTATCTCGGGCACTACAGTTAGTGCTAAATTGCAGCGGTACAACGTTCTCCAAAGGGGGAAGCAGAAAAAAAAGGAAATAGGAAAAATGATTCAGGTGAAAAATACCCTGAGTGTTAAGACTAGAACTTGCAAATCGGACTCCGAAAACTTTTGGCTATGATGAAAATGCAAGACACCTCTCTCTCTCTCTCTCCCCCTCTCCCTTTTTAACAAGATTTTTTGTTTTGGTTTGTCTCAGGTTGAAGAGCTGACCGTAAGGAAAGAACACTGACATCTTTTCCTGGCTCTGCTACTGCTGTTCCCTGCRACAAAAGAAATGGGCAGTTTTCTACTGGCAAGGGTAGAAGGTTGTGTTGCTTTGGTCTCTTCTCATTTATCTTGAAGAGCTCGGCCTGCACATCAGCCCTGTAAGACACATGCAACAAGACGGGCAGCTTGCTTCCCACTGAGTGCTTCAGGAGGAACCGTGRAAGGCACCTTCAAAGCCATCATCCAATTGCTTCTTCTCTTCTCATACGTGAGGATCGTTCCCAGACACATCCGGGAGCTCCTGCAGCCAGAGGAACGGCGCCCAGGTTTGTTAGGAAGCCCCAAATGCTTCTCCTTGTAGAAGATGCAAACCTGAAGTCTAGGTTACTTCTTGCAAACTCCGTCAACCTGCAAACTCCAGAAAGCTGCCGGAAATAAAACTGGGCTTTCGGAAAATGGGGGAAACGGGGATGAATCTTAACGGTTTGTGCCAAGTTAGAGAAGCGGGAACAAGCCCCAGTGAGCCCTGGCTGTAACATATAGAAAGGAAGTTTAGAACTAGATGCCTACCAGCAAAGTCCGGCCTGATCTGAAGTGTTTCTGAGGTGTTTGTGCAAAGTGCAGAGCGTTTCATACCGTGATCCAGGCACGCGAGGCCCGGGGCCCAGCCCTGCATTCCCTGCAGCCGGGAGCACTGGCTTTGTTTGCAAAGCCTTTGGGTTTGGAGCCGAAAGGTGAAGCGACAGGTTTGGGATTTCTTATCTTCAATGCAGCTTGAGCTGTAATCTCCCCAATCGATGCTTCAGGTGTCTTGGCTGCAGAAACTCAGCACACAAATTACTGCTTTAGCTTTTCCTCCTTGCCATTCTCGTATGATTTACCCTCCCTTGCCACACAATTCGGACCCTAGGGCTTGAGCCCCTCATTCGCAGTTTCTTCATCTGTATCATCTCTTGTAGGAAAGCTTCAGAGAATAATTCTTACTGCTTGTATTTGCTAAGAGGCAGAGGGCTAGGAATGGTTTTTGTCCTTGCATGGGAGTTGGAAAGGGAAGTGACATGAGCTTCAATATTTGCAATAATAGATTGCAAAGGGAAACGAAAACTCAAGTAAGCAAAGAACAGATCAAGAGGGCTTCTCAATTAAGGGCTTTTTCCTCTGGAATGGGGAAGGAGACTCAACATTTCATCACTCTTGGTTGAAACAGAGGCAGCTGAAGATGGGAGAAGGTGTGAGGCACCACCTCTGACACGAGACCATTGGCGCAGGAATTAAGCAGGGCCTGACTCAGCCCGGACCCGGGTTAAACGCCTCGCACGCCGAGCCAGATTCCTCAGGACCCACGTGGCTTACGAGCACAACGCGGCCGAGATGGTAGCCGCAAAGGGAAAGCAACAGGGCCGGAATTAGAAACCCAACAGACACGGCCCAAGGAGTAGATATCACGGATAAAGAGTCACCGTTTGACAAATCTTTTCAGTTGCAAGAACATCTGTTAATTTACTGACACTTTCCTCAGTTTGTCAGCACCCCTGCAAGCGGATACCTGTTATGCAGTTTTACATCACAGGCAGGGCTGTCCTCCTAGAAATGTGTTTGTTTTACCTCGCAAGTCTCTCGGATAATCCCACGTTGAATTTCTTTCCCGGTTTAGAGGKGTAGAACACGAGCCAGCCCAGATCAGCGTTCGTTATCAGTGACATGACGGATGAGCACAGTGGTAATTACAGGGCACACGGCTCTAAGAGGCTGGAAAAGTTCAGCCCGCTGCACGTTCCATAGKGAATCCCGCAGAGCTCCGCTGACTGACAGAATGGATTCAATGCACAAACGAGCACAAAGGCCTCAGAGCCGCCAAAACAGACAAGAGAAACTGCTCTTTCCTATCAACATTTAAGGGAAGAGAAGGGGAGYGAAAGGAAGGCAGAGGACAACTGTTCAGAAGTCAAGTGATACAAGCACTGTATTTGCAAGCCGCTCTTCTTCAGCTCCTAGGATATATTTTCCTTTAGAAAAATTCCAAAATGGGCTTTCCTCTTATTTAAAACACAGCGAATGCACAGGCTGAGCATGAGCTCCTCACTTCTCAGTGTTACATTTAACTCGCGGTCAAATATGACTGGTAACAACACAGTTTGCTGGCYGAGCCACCCCGAGGCACCAAGAAATCAGCTGCAACGACTCAGGGCAAAATTCCGAGCTCCAAAGGCCAAGGAAACACACGCACGCTGCTAACCCCTTAGGGTTCCTCRACCTTCCTGGAGCAGGGAGGGAGGGTAGAGGAGAACGGCACTGCCCCAGCTGCCCCCCCGGAGGCACCCCGAAGCGGGGCACGTGTCCTGCCGCGAGCACAGGGCACTGGGGAGCGGCAAGCGACGGGCCGGAGGGCAGCACAGCGAGAGGCGCTCACGCCTCCGAGCGCCGCGGGGATGAAGGCAGCGGCCTCAAGGCGAAGCCCCAGCAGGGCCGCGGGGCTCCGAGCAGCCGCTGGGGACGGGGTGATTCAGCCGCTGACTCACGGCGGGCGGCCCGGCGGGGCAGCAGCGGGGTGCGGTGGACGGCGGCGGTGCCATCCGCGCTATGCCAGGCTCGCTGGTGAATCAGCGCCCTGGCTGTCATTTCCGTGGCACATTTCGTGTGCTTCAAACTCAGCCTTTGCTCCGTTTTCCTTACAGTTGAAGCAACACAAAGCTCACGTGGCCAACTTGCCCCGTGGGACCATCACAAGAGAATCACTGCCCACAACAGGGTATGGGCTAATGCCAGGGGATGGGACCCACTTCCTATCAGTGGGACACAAACCTCTGCAATCCCAACCATCCACCTCCAGCGACTGCAGCCAGAGGATGAATTTTCCATATCTGTTTGTTCACTGCCTCCGGGTGGCTCTGAACTAGGTCACAGTGACAGGCAGCTTCACCTTCGCACGGGCATCCACGGGGAACAGGAAAAGCACCAGCTCCGAGCTTAGACCTGGCACCTAGAAGGGTTTGGATCTGCTGCCGACTCTGTTAGGGACTTCTCACGTGGCATTAGCCAAGTCACTCCGTTTCTCATTACCGCATTCCTCTCCTCGCGAGTACAAACAGGGATTAGGGTAGGGTTATTTCCCTCCATTAAGTTCCAAGATGTTTTTTTAAAAGGGGAAAAGAAGGTGCAGGCCAGTATATTAACGGCAGAAGCAGAGCACTAGCCTTAAGCATGCAGCTCACTCGTCGTGGTGRCCCCTCCAACATCACTGAAGCGAGATACCCCGTGGATCCAGAAGCCGTTGCTCTTGCCCACCTCCATGCGTGGTCCTTTGCGGGAGCCTGCGGTGTCTCATCCTTCCCTTGCCTAATCCTAACGCACAGGCAGGCTACAACGGGCAACAGCAAGTTGCAGGAGTGCTAACAGCAGCACATAACTTCATTTACCTGCTTCTAGCTAAAACCTCATCACYGATCTCCTCTTCTCCATGTAGATAATCCAGAAAAACGCTGGCTTGTGGCAAAAGGTTCACACAATCTCTGCTTTTGGCTTGAACACCCCATGGTACAGAAGAGAACACTATTTTTACTGACACAGCCACGCAGCTGGTTGAGAGCAATTCACGTTGACAGGCTTTGCAGTAGAAATACTTCTGATTAAAGTAAAACAAGAAAACACATAAGGAAAGTATAAGGTAATGTGCACAGGCTGAAGGTAAATAAGGACAGTGCCATTTGGGCAGTAAGGAAGGCGCAGCACCTGTTTATACATACATGATGTACCTACGAACACCTATTTATACATATCTGATAGCAAATCAGCTAGCGGATGCTGCACAGGAGTTAAGCTCGAGCTAGGACAGACCTGGAACGGAGTTGGCTCCCACAAGCTACACTGGCTTCCTGGGAAGCCCCAAGGAGCACAGGGTTCCTACGTTGACTTAAAAGACTGTTCTCCCCGGTTGAAGCAGGGCTGACACATCTGCCAGGTTTAACACTCGACAGCAGCTCCCATGCTCAGCACAGTGGACCGTTGGGGTCCCCGATCGCTGGGTCAAAGTCTTCTCACCTCTCCAACCCTTACACCTATTAAGTAAACACCCA